TGGCCCCCCCGCCGTTCCCCGTCTGCTCCGGCTTTTTCTCGGGGCTGCTGGCGAAGACGGCGTCCGAGTCAATGGTAAACCTGTTCCGGGCCAGCCGCCGCCGCCGCCTCCCGAGAGACTTGCTCGGGGCTGACACTGCGCACACACAAAGATAAAACCCCAGGGGCTTTTTACACATGGTACAACTCTCTTTAAAGCAGTTAAGCTTTTTACACATGGTACAACTCTCTTTAAAGCAGTTAAGCCTGCCCGGTGTTTCACGCTTGCTGGCCTAGGCACAACAACGGCAGCCTCCCAAGAACGACCCGAGTGGCTCAGCATCCTCCCTATGGGCAAGACACGCTCGGCTCCCGAGCCCTGCGCTTGCTCTGGCTGCAGGAGGGGTTTCTGCCTCCCAGATCCGCAGCGGGGTACGTGGCCACAGCTCCTGTTCCTCCAGGCAGGCAGCACCAAGGCCTTCTCACGATGGCACCGCGCGGCCCTGCACCACAGAGAGCAAGGCCACGGGTGCCCAGGCCTGACGCTCGCCACGCAGGACTCGTCGTGTGGCTCTACGGGGACACAGGGTCCCCGTTCTGGCTGTGCTAGTCCCTCCCCCACTCCCTCCCTACAGGGGAAAGGGGGGGGAAAAAAAAAAAAAAGGCAAGCAAAAAAAAAAATCCCCCAAAGAACGGAAAAGCTTTCAAAAGTTCCTTACTCAGCACCAGCTGGTCTACTAGCTTTTGCAACTGGCCCAATTAGCAAATTCACATCTTCCATGTTGAAACATCTTCATAAGAGGCTTGTGAGACAAAGCCGGGGCCGGATCCTGCAGCCGAAGGACCTGCAGGCGCTCCAGTGCTTTACGTGCACACACACGTAGCTCCATCGCAAGCGGGTGAGCTCCGAGGGCAGAGTTTGTCCCCCTCCACGAAACAGCACTTTAGCACTTTCAAGATGCTTCTATCAAACTCTAGCAGTTTGGGGGTTACGTTTTCACATCCCTTAGCCTTCCACCAGGCATTGTTGAGTGACTACAATAGCTCAAAAATTCTTTTTTTTTTTAAAAAAAAAAAACAAAAAAAAACTATACTGAGAGGTCCGGGCTCTAAGATTTGAATCCCCAGAGATTTCATCATGCAAGTGCATTGATGAGCCAAACTACCACAAGGTTTAGCATGTGCAGCAGATAAGCCCCACAGGTTGCTGAGAGCCCTGGGGCAAAACGGTTGCTTTTTGGCCTTCCCCTGATTCTTCATGCTTATGCTGCTAAATGTCTCTGAGGCAGATGGCTGGCAGCCCCTCAAGTGACGAGCCATGCTCCTGCTCTGGCCTGCTCACTACAGGAGAGGAACAGAGAGCCTGGGTCTCTGCATTGCTGGATCTAACAAGCAGAAATACAAAAGAAAAACAAAAACAGACCAGAACACACAGCTGTGTGTTGTGCACTTTTCAGGTGTTTTCAAGTGTTTCTTCCCTCCATCATCTAGTGTTCTGAAAATGAAAATCTGCCTTTCCCTGGGATTTTCTCATTGTTTTGCCTAAAGTCAACTGAAAAGGAAAATCCATGGTTTAGGTCAAACCATTCCAAAATAAAATAAAATAGTATCAAGTGCATGCCTCTAAGATGTGCAATGTAGAAGCATGAGCCCTTTAGCATCAAGGTTGAAAAGGCTAAAATCGGAGGCACAGAAAGTTGTCACTTCAAACCAAGCCAGTCGTTTGGAGGAGGTGATTTTTCATGTGCATTTTAGTTTAAAAAGTGCTAGGGTTAGTTTAGGAATTCTGTACATGTTTTTGTTTATGAAAGACGCAGTGGGCTTCTGCTTTGTTCAGCTGAACCCTATTTCCAGTTTAAAGTGCACGGCCAATCGGTATTGACAGGAATCCTGCTTGTTCCTTCCATGCCAAAAGGACTCTCTGAAGCTGAGCCTCAAGTGCAAAGCAAGGTAAACAGTGGAAATTTAAGGCTCTCAAGGAGGCGAAGCATGGAAAAACAGCAACTTCTGCATATACAGGAGAGAATGCTAATCCTAAGATACAAGTAATAGACATCACCACATGTCCTACAATGGTGCTGGAGTTACTGGGATCTTGAAAGTCTGTAGCCCTACAGTACCTGCCCTGTTCATGGCTGGCCTTGCACCTTTTAGAGCACACAATCTTTTTCCACCAAAAGGAACATATTGCTGGGATGAGGGTAAACTTTCGGTTTTAAGAAGCTGCCTTCTGTGTTTATCCCGTAGAATCGAGTGCACGGCCTTCAGAAAGTCCTTCCTGTGTTCTGGAGAACTGAAAAATAGGCAGGAATTGAAAAGGCAGAGTTAACTCTTGGAAATTGCTTCAAGCGTGCTGAAAATGACATACTTAACAACCAGTACTGTAATTTAAGACAGTTCCAACCAACTGGCATGTTCATCTCACCGATAAGACTCAGTTTAATATAGTATTTTCAAAGCAAAGCTACTTCTATAGCCACTGCAATGGACATTCAAGGAAATAAATATATCATTCATTAAAAGAACATTTAGCCATTTACCTCTCTTGAGGCTTCCCTTCCCTTAACCACACGCTTAAACTTGTCAGATAAACATCAAGCTGACCTATGGCGGCTAATTAAATCTCAGTTTGTCTCACATAAGCACACACAGAGCAGAATTCCCACAATCGCCACTGGGAGAAGTGGGAACCAGCTTCCTATCAGCTCTGCTGAACTGGTGAACTTATGCACCAAGTTCTGACCTAAAGCCTAGAACGAATTAGGGTGATCACCACCATTGCTATAACAAAAATAACATGAGTTTTCTTTTTCAGATAAAGGACAGTGCCCCAAGAACAGGGTATACATTAGCATGAAAGGCCCTGGAGGAACAAGAAACATAAGCACACAAGTTTGCATAAAGATCCACTGCTGCAGTTTAATTGAGTGTAAATTTGTAAAAGGAAATTTGTAATAAGGATATTCCTGCAGAGGTGCACAGCTGATCAAATATATGCCTGTATTTTAACACATTTTATGAAACCCTTCCTGTTAGAAGTATGGTTTTAACACCTTCTCCCCACTTTCTCTGCCAGCTGTTCCCAAATTGCCCTAGAGGAAAAGAACAGGCAAGCTGGGTTTCAGAGATGCAGCAGCCATGGAAAAAATGAACACACACTTACCTACAGCAGAGATGAAATGTTCTTTCTGGTCTGCCTTCAGATTCAGATTTAACATGGACGATCTCACACACAGAATTGGTCTCTGCATCTAAAGGAAAAAAGCAAGTAGCACTTCATACAATAAGCTCTCACATTTTACCTCAATTAGTTTATTTCATAATCCTGAAAAACAAGTTTAAGGCAGCCAGGAACAACAGATCCTATGTTGCAAACAACAACATTTACTCCCTACCAAAAGGTAGCAGTAAGTAAATGGGAAACAACAGACGCCTGAATTGCCCCAAACTTAATAGTATTTCATGTGCATTTACTCAATTCCAAAGAAAGGGGTGGAAACCACAGTTCTTCAGATTTTCCATGGAGTATTCTCACACTTCACAGGTGTATTTTCTACCGATAGCCACCTCCTACATTCTTTCTAATGACACTTATGCATTAGAGAGATTTAAAAAAAAAATTCAAAGTTTTTAAATATAATTAGCTTCACATGGAGCCATCAAGTGCAAGAGCAAAAATTCACTAGCTAGAAATACACAGCTGAAGCTTCTACCCCTTCATTACTCTCCAGTGCTACTATGGATGCTGATGTTCAGGATTCTTTTCCCTGAATATGTATATACTCGGGACAAACATCAGTCAGTGGTTGACCTCTAGAGGTCCCTTCCAACCTTAAGCATTCCATGATTCTATGATGCATGGAGACCAGACATTATAAAAGCTTTGCCACGTTCCTGCAGCTGGAGCATTACCTGCGCTCGCCAGTGCTCGGACCTGCAGTGCTTCCAAAGGTATCATGTGACGGAAGCGGAACGGATCCCACTCTTCATAAATCGAAGCTCTGTGTGATCCTCCCTGGATAAATTTCAAAATATTGTCAGGAAACAAGATATCTCAGAAATTCAGACTTAATAATCCCTTCTGCTCTGCCCTAGGAATCTCCAGTTAGGGAGTTGTTCCAAATTTCCCTCTCCTTCTTAAAACAAACTGGCAACCAATGTCACTGTAGTGCCCATCTATGAAGGTCTTGTTAAAATTCTGGAAAGAAATGTTTCATTCTCTCCTACAAACTTACACATACTCATAAACATACAATTGTTTTGCTTTAGTCACTCTAAAGTTTTTCACACATTCTTTTCTGTTTTGTGCCACACGTAGGAACCAAAACAGCTTTTGCAACATTAAACACTGTGTTGCCCATTGTACCAAGGTGTGTGGTCAGTGTCAGGCTTAGCTTTAACTTTTAATCACAAACTTCAGGAGGATGCCTGACACATAGTGCAGGCACACCTGAAATACGTAGCTCAGTGGCATGCTAAAAGCATAAGGAAATTGACAGCCAGCACTGAAGCGGGGCACTGTGTTTTATTAACAAAGTTGAGAGATGCCAGCTCTCACAATAGATTTATGCACACGGATCAGAGAGCCAAATACAAGAGACTTGCTCAGGGTGGTATCTTGTTTCATGAAAGTGCTCTCCACAGCATGGAGAGGATCTGGTAAACGACACGAACTGCCTAGCAGAGTGCAAAGGAGACGTTCAGCGCACGCTCGCACCGCACTCTGCCCACGCCGAGGAGGCTGTTCAGTATTACTCGAATTCTCCTTGCGTGGTGGAGCACAAGGAGCATACACAAAAGCACACAGTAACACCCTAGCTTTACGGGAAGCAAGTCTTCATCTTGGAACATTGCCACAGAAGGGGTCAAGGCAACTTACAAGCTTCTTCTTCTGCTTGGAACCATCCTTGTAGACGAGGACCACAGCCGTTTTGAACACTAGAGAAAAGGCAAAAACAAAAGCCATGTAGAATGAATAAGGTCGAGAGCGAGCCTCCTGCTCCCAAGCATGCAGGCCTTTCAACGCCTCAGAGCCCCCAGCAGAGCCCAGAAGGGGAGGCAAGAGCCATCATACCCATCCTCTTACATGCTCTCCCCACTCCACTACTCAACTTCAGCAGCTTTCAGTTGAACCTTCAGTGTTTAAGTTACCAGTTCTCTGAACAGCTATTTAAACAGCAACAGTTCTATCTAAAATCAAGAAAACACTAAGTCCACCTCAGACATATGAGCAGCACCCACTACATGCAGCCAGCTCTCAGAAGGCCCTGCATTTATACAGAATTTGAACCATGTGTAGGTGGCACAGTGGTCTATGCCAGACTCAACTGAACAACGCTCGCAGAGGTGTCATTTGATTCCCTTTTTACTATGTAATATCCACATGGAGTTGCAATTTGGCTTTCAAAACTCCAACTCCTATTTTTCAGGCCTCAAAGGCACCCTTTGTTTTAGGATTGCTTTAGACACTTAATTTTGGACATTTTATGAGACTGATTTAAATCTTTTTGGAATTATTAAAAGTTGCTGCACATTCCTAGCGGCTTTTATAAGGTCATTCAGCTTCAAGGCATGATCAGGAGCTTTTCCAACTACAGCAAAGCAGTCAGTTTACATATATACCAACGGCAGAGCTGGAAAATTCGTCACTGGTAAGCTGTTCGGTGTAACACAAAAAAATCAAAGTAACTGGCTTCCTAACCACTACAGCTTTCTGCAAACAGCACAGTAGAAGCCTGATTGTGCAGGAACAAGCTTGGAAACAAATTAAGAAAACCTAGCACTCTCTATATAACTTTAATTCTGAAAGAACACGATTTAGCAAATACAAGCCATTATGCGCCTTGCTAAGGGACTACACTTTGATGCAGAGGAAAGAGCCTGAATTCTAGTCCAACAGTAGTTTCAGCTTCTAGTTTGTCCACCCAAGTTAGACCACTCAGATGGAAGCAAACCACTCCAAAACCATGCCAGGAATCTGGGGTTAGTATTTCAATCAGGTTTAGACAAATCATTCCTTTCCGGCAAAAGGGACAGAAGGAAATGACAAAGCTTCTCCAGGTCTCAGCCCCCTCCAACAGCATGTAAGCCAGTTATTTGGAATGGATCAGCCTACTGCAACGTATCTTTTCATAGACAACTATCTATATAGTTCTCAATTTATAGCCCTGGATATAGGTTTAAGCAAGTCCCACACTATTGTAGCGGGCATCTCTGAATTCTTCATCAGACAGAATTTGATCACTATGGCAGAGATAAATATAGTTTATGTTTCAGCCAATACTGCAGAAAGCGATGCTCAGCTACTTTCAACAGACATCTGCTAAGGCATAGTCTACATTTATTTACACATCTGAAATAAATAAATTTTAAAGTAAACACTACGATACAAACCAAATGCTGCCAGCTCAGGCTCCTTCTTCCATTTCCCCAGTGAAGCAGGAGGATTAAGCCATATCACTGTATTATGCAGAAGCAAGTCCCCCATAGAAAGGTCTGCAACCTGTGGATCACAGACACATGTCAAGTTATAGCCTCAGTTTAACACAAACAGACAGACATTAAAGCCTTGCACTACACGAGCAGACGTTTGGCGTGAGGTATTTATTCAGATGACTGCAAGTGTGTGCAGAGAGACCACAGCAGACTCTTGAATGCACACGTCATGTAAATCCTTATTTGGTGGGCACAAACCAGGGCAAGTCAAGCTCAGAGTCCGGCTCTCATGATTTTATAAGGAGTCAGGACTTGCCAAAAACTCCAAAGAGTTTCCTAGGCCTTTTGCTCCTCTCTGCACCCCCCCGACAATCACACACACTCAGCTTGGGGTAATGTTCAGAGATCGCACTTGGTGAAGAGGCCAAACCATGCCCCCTACATAGAAGCCACAGCTCTTCACTCTGTCCAGAGGTTCATTTGTGGAGACCACCTTGCCAGGCATGGACAAAGAAAAGAGCACCAATGACCACTGCAAGAACAGACCTTTTACTTTTACCTCAGACTCCTAAGGTGACAAAGCAAGGGCTCTCCGCAGCACCTCGGTGACATTTTGCACTATTTTTCACCCTCCACTTGGTGAAGCCCGACATTTACCAGAGGACATCACGGATGGCATCGGCACAACAACCTGAGCTCTCCCAACAAACATGACAGCAGCATGAAGGACTATGTTTACTGTACCCACTCCCAAATTCTCACAGCACGACCACCACCTGCTCTCCAAAGGGAAGTCCCGACACACTCGTCCAGCCCTGCTCACCAACACCAACCCAGGCCTGTGCCCTCGAGCCAGCACGTGCTTGTCCCTGCTGCTCTCATCCAACTCGTGCACCCAAAGCTTCCCCGACTCTGCACAGCCTGGGCCACCTCTGTCTTACTGTCCTATTTGCCCAGCACCTCTCCCCTCTGATCTCTGTCCTGGCTGCTGGTAAAGCCCTGCTGTCATTTCTTCATACAGTCCTGTCTCCCCCGGGTTCACCCTCAACTTGAGCCTTTAGGGCATCTTCCACAGGTGTCCCTGAGAGGGACGCCCAAGACTGAGCCACGCTCCAGCTTCATGCCTTTCAGGATGTGCTATACAGGACCTAGGCCAAAGCCCAGGCCTCTCGTACATGAGCCAGCTCAGACGCTTTCCAGCACGGTAACAGCAACTTCTCACACACTGGCTCTCACACTGTGAGCTATTTAAAGTCATCAGTGAACTAAGTACAGACCTGCCTCTGCACAGCAGTCTGCTCAAGCGGGGCAAGATCATTTGTGGAACCAGCAGCTGAGCTGAGCCACGAGCATCAGAAAAGGGCAACTGCAAGTCTGGCTGGGATTCTGAGCCAAGGCCAGCATGGAGGGTGAATTAACTCACAGCTTCTCTACATGGGTTCCCCTCACTGAGCTGTATGGGAGAAGCAGTTTTTGCATTGAACTGGGATTTATCTGTCATATGAGAATCAAATCAGGCGGCATGAAATCTAGTACGTGATATAATTTAACATTCACAAAACGTAACATCCACACTACAGGCTACAAAATAGAAGCCTCGTTCTCTTAAATTTGACAATCTGTTACCTCCTTTTTCTCCCCTGTTTGCTCTGCAATGAGTTGGTCAAAAACTGCACCATACTCTTCATGGATTTTCTGCATTTCATTAATATGGCTGGCAACTTTGTTCATGGTTTTTATGGCCACTAGAAGAGAGAAAGGGAAAAAAGACAAAAGGTACTTTGAGCCCTCAGGGGAAGAGGCAGGAGGAGGGTTCCAGACAAAGGTTGAGGAGGCAAGAGAGGCACAGGTTAGGTCCTTACCATCAAGGTGATAGTGCTCTTCACTGTCTACGTCAGTCAGAGCAAAGAGTTCCTTCAAGAGGGTATTTCAGTATCCGCTGGATGGGTTTGATGAGGTACGACTCCAGCGTGGAGGAGTGCTGCCGCCGGGGATTCTGCGCATCCAGAAACGCCTTGAAAGCCGTGTCTGTCTTAGCTGGAGGATTAAAACGAAGTGAACAAATCAGAAATAATAACAGCTGCCCTGATAAAGGGACTTTTCCAGCTTGAAATTCATTTATCCAGAGACATTTTGTGAGGAAGTGACAATTTATCAGATCCACAGTATTGGATTTATGTCCTTCAGCTTTTGAGTTGCTGGCACTTTGCCACATATGCACTATTCATGATTTAACATTGGGCACCTACATACCATAAAAACACATAAGGTTTTTAACTATCCACAGGTAAAAACTGTTGAACAACTACTTTCTGACTTTGAAACTATTTGCTTTTAATCTAAAAACTAAATGCTTTTAATCATCTTTTTCCTTAAAGAAAAGGGTCATACTGGATATTTATAAGAACTCATAGTACTAGACAGACAAGCATGTTTGGGCTATTCTTATCTTATTAAGCCTTAAAATGCAATACCAAACAACATCAAAATCAAGAGCTAGTAAGGAGGCAGGAAACAGTGAACTTATGATACTTCATCATATTTTAGGAGCTCAGTCAGACTGGGCTTTTTCATCTGATTACTACCAAATTTGTCTTTTATTTTTCCCTTGCAGATAGACACTTGCTTTCAATAGAGCAACCTCTGCTTAAAATCAAAAGGCCACCTGCAACACAGCTGAAGACACCAAATTGAAATACAAATTGAAATGGAAATACACTTGAAACACACTCCTAGGCTTTTTAAGAGATTTATCTCTGGAATCAAATTAGAAGTTCTGTTTATGCCATAATTCAAGTACACACATTTTTCATTTATAAATGTAGTCAGCAATGAAAAAGTGGAACAATATAACACAACCAGAACTACCTAGTTCATAGTCTAAACATTAAGGTCAAAGAAGCTGGTGCCAGCAGAAGGCATGAATGTGACTTGCAGTGAATTATTTATTCATGTATTCCACAGAGCTGCCAATTTTTCTTTGCAGCATGGTAAGGGCTTACAAGTAATCATAGTAGAAAACATTTTTTTTATGCAAATCTGATTTTTCTTTTTGATTGCCAGGTATCTAGATGCTCTTAGAGGAATGAGAGCTCCCACTTAATGGCCTCGATCCTAGAACGAGAACCGTTCTGCTTATTTAGCATCCGGGCCAGAAGCGCATGGCACGAAGTGGTGCTAACTCCTGGAGATTTGCACTTCTGTGGGACAGTGACGTTGGAGAGGGGTGAGGAAAACACTCCCAGGCAGGGAGGCCCGTGAGCATTTATATGCCAAACCACAGCTCATTTATCTCCACCTCAGCAAACGCGGCGCTGCAAGAAATTTTGGCATGGAAACTTCTCAGGCAGATTGGAACACAGGAGAGAGGAAGAACAGAAGAGAGAAAAAGCAGAGTGAAATGAAAATATTGTGGTAGTTTCCATGAAACCTCCTCCCAGTCAGGTCCTTTCCTCCTGGCTCTCAGCATGCAACCGAAGCTACTGGTGCTTCAGCA